ATCAGTGACATCATCAGTCAGATCAGTGACATCATCAATTTATTTCTTAGCTGCTCTTAAGCTAAAGTTATCAGCAAGAGGCATTCACACTAGCATTTTCACCAGAAATGCACATTTTTCCAGCTAATTTCACCTTTTGGTTCTTTTACTGCTTTTGCTTTTTAATTATTTGTGCTGATATCAGCTTCCTTCAGTTTCTTTTTTGCTTTTTTCTGCTTCTTCATCTTTCTGCTCTTTTCAGCTGTTCGAGTTTGATCATTTTGTGCTTCTATCAGCTTCTTTCTGCTAACGTGAGCTTTTATCGCTTCTTTCAGCTGTTTGCAGCAGTTTAAGACACTGTTTTAGTTATTTTCAGTTAAAATTACATTTTTTCTGATCATTTTCAGCTGCTTAATTCTGCAAAGTGCTCTTTTTGGTTCTTTGTGTTAGATTAAACTATTTTTGCTACTTTTTAGCTACATTTTTTTCAATTTCAGTTTATTTGGCTATTTTGCAACAAATTGCAAAAGTTTTGTGCGGCCTTTTTTTACAACATTTATGTAGCTGCATTTTCACTTAAAATGCAAATTCTCTGGTTATTAACATGATGTTGGTGCTTGCAGTCTGCGTTGTGAACGACTCTCGGCTACTACCACAGCTAATTTTAGCTCAGTTTGTAAAATAAATGAGCAAAGTAAAGCCTTAAATCTTTCCATCTCCTCCAGGTGAAACTGTGGCCTGAAAGCACCGAACASATCCATCTGAGACACTTAACTAAAAACAAATGGAATCGTTTGTGCCAGAGATGTAAACAAAGAGAGAAGACGATGACAGTGCAGAGGTTCGGTGCTTCAAACTGGATTGCAACATCTCCTCCTTCAGTTTGGACACGTCGCTCAGCGCCTGCCGGATGTGCTTCAGGGTTCAGCAAGAGGCGACACAAGTCACACTTTTTTATTGAAAATGTTTATACATGCGTGGCCATTGCCCCAGCTTCCCTTCCTGTTAAACTAATGGTGTGTATGAGATAACACGTGTGTTGTCTGTGTGTGTGTGTGTGTGTGTGTGTGTGTGTGTGTGTGTGTGTTAGACCATGGAGGCACCCTCCATGTGTCAGTAGCAGGAACACAATCAATGTTAAGAGTTATGTAAACGTTAGATTCTGTCTTTACGCACCTCGTTAGAACAGAGCTGGAAGACGTCTAAATGTACCATCAGTACAGACCCCCCTTCACATTGGATCAGAACCCTGATGCGCTCTCCATGACCCCGTTAGAACATAGCTGGATCRCAGCAGACTTGGAAAACCTCCTTCAGTGTGAAAGAAATCACTGCTACGCTCCAAGTGATTGTCAAACAGGTTTTTACAGCTTTGTCCTAAAACACTCGTCAAA